ATTTGGAAACTTGCAAATTTAAAGTCACACAGTCCAGTTCCACAACTCAAAATTCATGATTACCAAGACACAACTTTTCCTCCACCTGGTCCGGGACAACCATATCCTTGTCCTCCACGCTGAGCGCACGGAGGTCACTGATAACGACATCCTTCACCGCCTTAGCAGAATGGATAGGAATCATAATTAATATAGGAATTCCTGATCAGGATAAATTCAAATAGCATAATCTAATTAATATTGCAATCAAGAAGCCTCCACCCGCATCCGCGACTTGGGCATTGGGTTGTTCTCATCATACTTTCTGCAAGCCCTGGCCTTTTGGGCAACACGTGGAGTCCACCCGGTATGGATCGGGCCAGACGCCTCCAGAGCATGCACGCCAAAAACAAGATGATTTCAGAAACAATCATGATATCATGTCAAGTAGCATCATGCTTGCAAAGCAGCGTAGCCTCATCAACATCAAAATCTTCAATCTCCTCTTCGAGCTGANNAAACTTGTTCTGCCTGGCCTTGGCTTTGGCACGGATGCCACTTTTCATGATGTGGCCACTCTTTTTGACCTTGATCTTCTTTTTCTTTGCATCATCTTTCATCTTGCCCATACCATGCCACGAATCGTCTTCACCATACTCCGCCGGCGCCAGATCCTGCACACAAGCGCATGTACACATATCAATCTTGGTCACACATGCACAGAATTCACACAATGCCATAAAGAAAGAAAAGTCCTCATCGAGGTCGTCAAAGGTGAGGCGGCGCCTCACTGGAAGAGGACTTGCCTCCTCGGTGTCATCCTTCTTGCCCTTCGCCTTGGCTGCCTTCTTTTTACTTCGGCCTCTCTTCTTTGAAGGCTCTGCTCTCAATTCATTTTTTTCTGCTTCCTCCTCATTCTCCAGCTGCAGTGCCTCATCATCGCGCTCCTCCGGCGCATCCTGAAATCTTTCATTTCTCATGGCCTCCTCCGCTGCGGGTGCCGACCCAGATTCAGCCTTCACTTTTGCCTTTGTTTTTCCTTTAGCGGTCGCCTTGGCTTTGCCTTTC